CCAAGCCCCGCCATCAAGGTGCTGGGGCTGCTGGGGGTATCAGAGACACAAACCCGCAGGCCTGGCACCCAGCAGACCCAAGGCCTTCGCGGCAGCGCTAAGGAGCAGCAAGCTGAGCAGTAGGAAGCAGCAAGCAGGTGGGCAGTAAGGAGGGAGGGGTCCCGGACTGCGAGAGGGCACATGCTGGGCTAAGGGACCCCCCACCTATCCCCAGTGCACGAATTTCGTGCACCGGGCCTCTAGTACTATATAATAAAAGGTAATATGCAAATTGACCCTAACAGCAGAACGACTGGGAATGACTGTTCACTATGACACACACTGACCACCAGGGGGCAGATGCTCAATGCAAGAGCTGCTCCCTGGTGATCAGTGCGCTCCCACAGGGGGAGCTCTGCTCAGCCAAAAGCCAGGCTGACGGTTGCCAGTACAGCAGTGGTGGTGGGAGCCTCTCCTGCCTCCTCAGCAGCGCTAAGGATGTCCGACTGCAGCTTAGGCCTGCTCCCCACTGTCAAGTGGACATCCCCCGAGGGCTCCCAGGCTGCCAGAGGGATGTCTGACTGCCAGCTTAGGCCCAATCCCCCGGGGAGCAGGCCTAAGTCAGCAGGTGGTCATCCCCTGAGGGGTCCCAGACTGAGAGAGGGCACAGACCGGGCTGAGGGAACCCCCTGAGTGCACAAATTTTTGTGCACCAGGCCTCTAGTAAAATAATATGAAGAAATCTAGGTTTGACAAATAAGTATCTGCTTTGAATTTCCTCAAATGTCTGGCGTTGTGCTGGGCATCAGCTGAATGCATTCTTCCTGATTTCATTTGAGTCATATTCTAACTCACAACCTTTTCCAACTCCTCACACTGCCAGGAAATAAAATTTCATTTCACATTTACAGAGTCCATCATCCCATCAAGCAAAGCAAATACCGTGGCCTTTGTAAGAACAGATAATGCACAGATTTTCATGGACTTGAATCACATCATATTTCCTGCAACCTCCTGTCAGTGACCGGTCTCCGGTGATTGGTTGTAACATGCATTTAAACCTGCCCTTGGCACCAGCCACAGAGAGGAGAGTCCCTGCAGTATCCAGTTTCTTCAAGAACATGCAACTTAGAACAATAGGGAAACAGTTCAAATTTTTAGAAAAGATGTATACAGGGCTTTAAAATTCTTAGTTCCAGAATTGTGTTATTATTAAAAGCAATAAATTTTCAAGACAACATAAAGCTGTAATCAAGACAGTGTGGTATTGGTGAAAGAATAGATAAATGTAATACTGGAACAGAATAGAGAGCCCCAGATAGACCCATGTAAATGCAGTCAACTGATCTTTAACCACAAAGTAAAGGCAATACAATGGAGCAAAGAATTTTATTTTTTTTACACATGGTGCTGGAACTACTAGATATCCACAAGAAATGAATTTAGAGAAAGTCCTAATCCTTCACAAAAATTAACTCATAATGAATCATAGACCTAAATGTAAAATGCAAAACTATGAAACTCCTGGGAGGTAACACAGAAGAAAACCTATATGAACTTGGGTATGGTGATGAATTATTAGATACAACATCAATGGCACCTTCATGAAAGAAAGAATTCATAAGCTGAGCTTCATTAAAATGAAAACCTATGCTCTGTGTCCTAACTTGTTTGGCTCAGTGGCTAGAACATCAGCCTGCGGACTGAAGGGTCCCAGGTTTGATTCCGGTCAAGGGCATGTACCTTGGTTGTTGGCACATCCCTAGTGGGGGGTGTGCAGGAGGCAGCTGATTGATGTTTCTCTCTTCGATGTTTCTAACTCTCTATCCCTCTCCCTTCCTCTCTGTAAAAAAATCAATAAAATATAATAAAAAAAAAAAGAAAATCTTATCCTCTGCAAAAGACGTTGTCAAGAGAATAAGAAGACATTTACAAAAGACAGGTCTGATAAAAGGACTATTTTCCAAAACATACTAAAAACTCTTAAAACTACCTCATAAGAAAACAAAAACCTGATTAACAAATCACTGACACGTCACCAAAGAATATATTCATATGCAGCACAGGCCTGCGGACTGAAGGGTCCCGGGTTCGATTCCGGTCAAGGGCATGTACCTGGGTTGCTCCCCAGTCCCCAGTGGGAGATGTGCAGGAGGCAGCTGATCGATGTTTCTCTCTCATCGATGTTTCTGACTCTCTATCTCTCTCCCTTCCTCTCTGTAAAAAAATCAATAAAATATAATAAAAAAAAAAAGAAAATCTTATCCTCTGCAAAAGACGTTGTCAAGAGAATAAGAAGACATTTACAAAAGACAGGTCTGATAAAAGGACTATTTTCCAAAACATACTAAAAACTCTTAAAACTACCTCATAAGAAAACAAAAACCTGATTAACAAATCACTGACACGTCACCAAAGAATATATTCATATGCAGCACATGAAAAGACGTTCCCATCATATGTCATTAGAGAAATGCATATTTAAATAAATGAGATACCACTACACGTCTATTAGAAATGCGAAGATCCTGAACAATGACAATACCAAATATGGGGGAAGATGTGGAGCCACAAGAATTCTCAGTCATTGCTGGTGGGAATGCAAAATGGTGTAGCCACTTTGGAAGACAGTTGGGACGTTTCTTATAAAACTAAACATGGTCTTACCCTATGATCCAGTTACAATGCATAAACCTACATTGACATGTCATCATCATCCAGAACCCATAGTTGACACTGGTATTCACTCTTGGTGTTGTACACTCTATGCATTTGGACAAATGTATAATGACACATCTCCACTATTATAGTGTCATAGAGAGAGTAGTTTCACTGCCATAAAATAATCTTCTGTGCTCTGCCTACTGACACATCTCCACCATTATAGTGTCATAGAGAGAGTAGTTTCACTGCCATAAAATAATCTTCTGTGCTCTGCCTACTCATCTCTCCCACCCCCTCAGCCCTTGGAAACCACTGGTAATTTTACTGTCTCTAAAATTTTGCCTTCTCCAGAATGTTATATAGTTGGAATCACACAGTATGTAGCCTTTTCAGATTGGCTTCTTTCACTTATTATATGCACTTAAAGTTTTCCCATGTATTTTCATGGCTTGACAGCACATTTTTTTTTTTAGCGTCGAATGAGAGTCCACTGTCTGGATGGACCACAGTTTATTTGTCCTTTTACCTACTGGAAGGTGTCTTGGTTGCTTCCACGTTTTGGAAATTATGGATACACTGCTATGTTGTTAGCCATGTGCAGATTTTTCTGTGAATATACTTTTCAACTCTTTTAGCTAAGTACCAATTCTCTTGACAATGTCTTTTGCAGAGCAACTATATAACATTCTGGAGAAGGCAATATTTTGGAGACAGTAAACATACCAGTGGTTTCCAAGGGCTGAGGGGGTGGGAGAGATGAGTAGGCAGAGCACGGAAGATTTTTTTATGGCAGTGAAACTACTCTCTCTATGACACTATAATAGTGGAGATGTGTCATTATACATTTGTCCAAATGCATAGAATGTACAACACCAAGAGTGAATACCAATGTCAACTATGGGTTCTGGATGATGATGGCATGTCAATGTAGGTTCATGCATTGTAACAAATGTTACATCTGGTGGGGGTGTTGATAATGGAGGAAGGAGGCTGTGCCAGTGAGGGGACCTAAAACTGCTCTAAAAATAATTTATTTTTTAAAAGTAATAAACATCAGGCTCATTATTTCTAATTGCTTCCTGTAGACTGTCACTGGACAATGCATCTCATGACACCTACGTGGTGTTTCTCCTGGGCAGGTGTTAATCTGGACCACAGTTTTCACTTTTAGGTGACACCAATAGAATGAATCAGATTTTGGAACTGCACTGTCCATAATTAATGACAGAATAAAATTTTGGAAAAACACATTGAACTTACCTTGGAAAGATCATGACTTTCAGGTTTCTATCAGAACTCAAACCACATCAAGTCTGCCACTGGGCAAGGGAGCTAGAAGCCCTTTCTTTTTCTCAGTTTCTCAGAGGCATTTTGCTTGAAGTTGGATGCTGGGCAAAGGTAGTTGGTTGGGAGTTGCAATTACAAAACCTGCTTCAATCAGGTAAATCACTAAACTGATAAGATATAACATTTATCACTTTGGATACTGTATGTATTAGTATATTACCCAGAATAGCAGGAAGATGTATTTTCCTGAGCTTATAACCAATTTCCAACAATGACATTAAAAAGAGCACAGTGGGCAAGACAGTAGGTATGTGAGTGCACGGCTCCTCGAAATTTAGAATAATAAGAATTTTTAGGAGAAAGTGCCCATATAATAAAAGTTAGAGCTTGTAAATTTATTTATAAAGAAAAATCAAGGATGGAAACACAGATATGTAGAAATTATAAGTGATTTTAGTATTTACTCATACTTTTATATGTAGTGTTCTTTATTATATATTTTTTGTATTTCCTAAAATAACTATGTTTTCTGTAATCAGGCAAATAATAACATTTTATTCATATTTATATATAAATGTTCTTTATATATACAAAGTGATTGTATATAAAATGTTCTTTATACATAAAATCTTTAACCAGTTAACTGCCACATGCCCAAAATGGAAACCATCCCTCAC